CGGTGAGAGTTTCTGGTTTTTGGTCGTAGTGCAGTACCAGGTGAGGAAGCTGCCTGCAGGTCTCCCATGTCTCAGCTCCCTGATCATGGCAAAAGGCAGTGAGTGTCTGCCTGCTCCATGCAGTGTACCCGCCTTGTGATGGTGGAGAAGCAGCTGGTGACTTAAACTGTCTGGTTTAACTCGAGTAATCTCAGATTACGTGTCAGAATAGACTTTGCATGGAAAGAACCAGCTCATTGTCCTGCTCAAGTGCTTTGCCTGTAACGCTGAGCTCCGGGGTGATGATAGAGCGGTGGTCAGGAAGGTACTTGAATAAAGCAAAAAAAAAACCCACAAACTGCCTAATGCTTTACTTGATTAAATTTCAGGAACATTTAAAATGGTGTTGAGGAAAGGTAAGTGACATTGCCAACAATAGATGCAGAGATCTGCCAGCCGGTGCCAACTGTTGCCAATTAAGTGCTCGTATCACAGGAGAGCCATCTTGAGGTTCCTGTGTTTGCACTGATCTGTAGGCACAAGAGTCAATCCATTTCCAGATAAATGAAGTAAACCTGCAAGTCCTTTGTCTGCTGAAGATGACAACACACGCGTCTAAGTAAATGGGATTAATGTCCACTAGGTAGGCTTCGTTTTCGTCATCTCCATGTTGCTTACTGTTTTTCTCAGGTTGTCAAGAGAGAAGGCAGTGGGACAGAGTCTCCGATGATAGGTGATAAAGTGATCGTCCACTACACAGGATGGCTTCTTGATGGCACAAAATTTGATTCCAGTCTGGACAGGAGAGACAAATTTTCATTTGACTTGGGGAAAGGTACCGTCTTGCGTTTGATATTCCATCAGTTTTGGTAATAATTGAGATGGGATTTCCTTGCACGTGGGGCTCGTTTGCATGTTCAAGTTGCTATTTAAACTTCTTTTCAGAGGTTAAAGTTTATTCTCTTAGAGTGACCCAGTCAGAACAGCTTTGAGGTTTTTCTGAATGAGAAAACTGTAGCCCCTTGGTGAGGCCTGCTGAAGAATTGATGGGCCTCAGAGCACTCCAGGGGACCAAATTTGCCCTGAAGCATAGTGATAAAGGGTAGTTAAATAGTCAGAATATGCATTTTGTTGATTGATTTCTTTTTTTGGCAGAAAACTCCTATGCAGGAGAACTTAATTGTGACCAGATACTGGGACAGGGTGCACAGGGGCAGCTGTCAGCTGCAGCATGACGAAACGTACTCCTTTTCCCTGAGTTCCCAAATTAACCCAAAACCAAACGCTGAAGCAGTGCATCTCTGTTAACAAAAGCCTTCATTTTTTTAAGTGCAAAAACCTAAACAACCTTGTTCCAGCAAATCTTATTACTCAATCTGAGTTTTTCCCTGGCAGTTCCTTGCTTGCTGCTTTTTTGTTTGGGAGATAAATTCTGCTGTGTACCGGAATTTGAGAGGATTTGAAGTGTACCTATTAATACAAGGCTAATAGAAAGGCTGCTTGAGTTGAAAAGAGCAGCAAGTAGGAGAGCTTGAGTAAGAGATAGAATTTTGTTACTTGAGGTTCCAGGTTCTGTTAGCTTTTGGCTTTAGAAGGAATACTACTTCTCCTATTTTCCTCCCCTCTTCTGTTACAAGTGAATGTAACTTTTCCTTACCACAAGTGCTGCTCTTTGCCAGCTGATAAAGTACAGAGAGAAAAGGCTGTTGTCTTGGATTGTTTTCAAAACACGAGCAGGCAATCTCTCACCCTCAGACCTTCCTCTTCCAAGAGTTTATTGTTGTTTCCTCGCGCTTGAGATGGTGCCAAGCGCTTCAGCCCGCGTCTGCGTTCCGATGGCTCGTGTTCTCTGTCGGGGAGGAAGAGAATCATGACATCCAGAATGAATAAGTTAGCCAAATTGCAGTCCCTGGGTAACTATAGTTTGATTAGGATTAAAAGTGGTGTACATAAATCACTGTGAGCACAAATCTTCCTATTTTTTCTGCTCTGCCTTGGGTTTTGTGTACTAGAAGTGAGGATGCTCCGTTTCACAGCTGATGGTGGATTTTTTTGTGTGCCTGGCAATCACGTGGTTGAAATTTGGCTTGTGTAGGTGAGGTGATCAAAGCATGGGACATCGCTGTGGCCACTATGAAAGTTGGTGAAATCTGTCGGATTACGTGTAAACCAGAATATGCCTATGGCTCAGCTGGGAGCCCCCCAAAGATCCCTCCCAACGCTACGCTGATTTTTGAGGTAAGTGAGAGGTGGTCACTAAAACAGTATGCTTGGAAAAACAAACAAAAATCGTATTTCACTGTAGAAAATGTGTGATGTGGTATCCTTTCAAAACAGGAACCTTGGGTTTTCTAAAGAGAAAGATGGTTAATTAGGGTCGTGTGAGCAACACATAAGAGTTCTAGTCTGGCTGCTACTGGTTCCTTTAGTTTGGCCTTTCTAAATAATTCAATGTTTTCCAATGTTCTGGTTTTAATTGTACAGTTATGGAATGGTTAACTGTAGGAGAGTGCAGGTTGGGGAGTAGGGCAGGGGAAGGAGGGCTGTCTTAGTGGAGGACTCTGAAGTACTTGAAGAAATCCAATATTTAATGCCCTTTCCACTTCCTAAGACTCAAAGTAAAGGTACTTCTGTTCAACATTACAAAGTTTTCAAGAACTGACAGAGGAGTTAGTGTCCTCAGTAATATATTTTTCATACTACTTTTTTTTTCCAACATTAACAAAATGTTTTATGAACTATTGGTGGGAGAAAAGAGATAATTACCCTATGTAAACTGCTAGACTATCAAGTGTATTTGAACAGCCCTGCAACTGCTAACTGTTTCCTGTAGAGCTGAACGTTTTAGTAAGTCCTAAAGCACCATAAGAAGAGTTTGGATTCAGATTGCTAGTTGATTACCCAAGTCTGTCTGTGGATCCAGGCTACACTGGTCAATCTTACCATCATAGAAGGTCATTTTTATACACTTGGGCACTCTAACAGATTCAGCACTCGAGTTTGGTGTCTGGGTAACTCTAGTTTTACAGTTCACATGGACAGTTGGTCATGCCTGCCTGAGCAGTAATGTTAGAGGAGAAAAGGAAGAAAAAAGGAAGGCACTGAAGCTGCCTGTGATGGTTTTGTGCTTCTCAAACAAAAGCCCTGCTGATACCTTACTGCAGCACATAAGCAGTGCTGGGTGTGTCCTGAATTGGGGGAGTAGGGTGGAATTCAGATCCAGAGAGCTTTCTCAAGTTTTATTAGATAGGAGTGATTTCTGTCTAGCATGACTCTTGGGCACTTCAAGTCTCTGAAGTTTCCACTTGCTCCTGTGTTTCCTTTTCATTACTTAAACCAATGTCAGCACGGTTCCTTTGCAAGTGCCATCCCCATACCAAAATTTCATGTGAGTTGCCTTAAAAAGGAACCTCAACCTTAACGTTGAATGATTTTTGAAGCTGTGATATCACCACATCAGTGTTTGATATAAACTGAAATAATGGATGTCCAATGGTTTGGGAGTTTTTTGTTTGGTTGGTTTCCCTTCGTTATGATTGCTTTTCCTGAGCAACATAAATAGATTAGTCCATAGAATGCTGCTGTTCAGGCAAAAACAACCAACCAAACAAAAAAAACAACAAAAAACCCCACCCAAAACCCAAATGGAAAATGTGTGTGGTCTACTGTAAGGTGTTGTGGAGTGACTTAGCTTGTTTGAGACACCTTGAAGAGAAGGACAAGACTTCTTTTTTAGCCATCAAAATACAAGGTGGCAGTACTGTTTGTGCTGGTGAATACTTAATTGCTTTTGCATTCCAGGTATCTTAAGTCCAGTGTCATGAACCTCCACAGCATTAGCCTTGAACTTTTTTGGTTGGTTGGATGGTTTGGGGTTGGATTTTTTTGTTGGTGTGATGATTTTTTTTTTCAAAGGAGGTGCTTAGTCTAAACAATGCTGATAATAATGGCTTGCTCTTTTGTACTGTTTTTGCTATTTTTACTCAAACACAGGACAACAAAAGATTTTTTTCTTAATTTCATAGCAGCAGCAAGAAATTTGTTTTGTGTCTAATAGATTATTTTTCCATCTTCTCATGGTACTCCCACTTCAAACTATGGTTTGCATTAGAGGCTTGGGAGGGCATGTCGAGGCTGGATAGTTATCTCCTACATGAACACTACCTCCTAAAAATCAAACAATTTGTTGCAGCAACAACTTCAGATGAAAAGTGGACCAGATCATGGTTTTGTTGTTTTATCATTCTTCTGGAAATACTCCTTTTTTCTGAAATGATCCCACCATACACAATGATAAGGTGAGACTAGAGAGGAAAATGTACCGAGGAAAATGAGAACACTTAACTGTTCAGGCATGCAAGGGGAATGACACAGAAGTTTTAAAACTCTTGTCCTGTAGCACAAGAGTAGGAGTATGAAGAATTGGGGAATAGCTGGAGTCTGAAAAAATTTTCTTGAATTTGTTTTAATATTGCAGGACAGCATTTGGAATCAGTTTGGGCTCTGTTCCAAGCACCTGAAAGTTGATCTGAATTTGACGATAGATGGAATTAAGGGTGTAATTGGGCCTTAAGGATAAGAATTGCATCTTCTTATTAAATTTTCCTACTCCTTTTGTCCTTGCATTACTTACAGACCTCCCTGGCCCTTAGATGCAGGGACACTACTGGTGACTCTGCTTGACTGTAGAGTAAGAGGGTGTGACAGCTGCCCATCAGTGTGGTGGCACTGCGCAGTGGCAGCTGAGAGCAATTTCAGCCTGGCTTAATGTGTTTAAAGGGATTTTCCCTCATATTCAAAATAAACATCTTGAGCCTGAAAACCACTATTCATACTTCTGCCTGCAGACATTAGCAAAAATACTGTTAAAGAAGCCAATAGTCTTTCATTGCAGTAGTCCCTGAGCATTGTGGCTCGTGTAAGCTTTATTCAGAAGCCAGGATCACAGTCCTTTGAATTAAAGGATCTAATTTGTAGTATTGGGAGACCAAGATTGCTGCAGGAAAAAAGATGTAAAGGCCTGAATATGATCTGAAGCTCTTCAGTGGATTTCCATCTAGTATCTACTGAGAGCAGCATCTTCATAGCCTTGGCTGTCTGATATCTTACAGGACATGAGCTGAGATGATGGCTTCCTCAACATCTATCATTTCCAAGATCTCTAGAGAGCAAATTCTGGGAGTTACTGAGTTGATGTGATGGGGATAAAAGCAAGGTTTGTCTTCCCTCCACAGATAGAGCTTTTTGAGTTCAAGGGGGAGGACCTCACTGATGATGAAGATGGTGGCATCATCCGAAGAATCCGTAAAAAAGGGGAAGGTTACTCCAAGCCCAATGAGGGTGCTCTTGTAGAGAGTAAGTACGTTAAATAGTAAATGGGTTTACTGTGTGGGAAGGCAGGGAACTATTTTCCCAGTCTACAACTCCTTGCCCTGAGAGAGGAATATGTGGTTTTTCCTTCCTTTAACCTAGAGTAAGCTTTCAGTATCTTATTTCTAGCGAGGCTTATGTTTTCCAGCAGCAACTCTGTTCTCCAGAGATACTGAAAGTACATATCTGATCACAAATGGTAGATGAATCTAATAAAGTATTTCCATTTGCAGAGGAACAACAACAGAAGTAGTTCTGGCACTTGTTGGAGTGAAAGAAAAGTAATATATAGATGAACAAGAAAAAAGGTTTGCTAAGTTCAGCTGCAGAAGGTCTGTTTGCTGCCAGTAGCTGCCATGCACAGGTAGCTGTTAAAGGAGAGAAGGCTGTTCAGGAGGAGACTTTGGCACTCCCTGTTACTACCTGTGCTACCTGCCCCTTACCATACATAGATATCTTCTGATTCTTCCCTGGGTTGTTCTGTTTTTTGTTACCAGTCCAGTTTGAAGGCCGATATGGAGAACGTGTTTTTGACAGGCGGGAATTGCAGTTTGAGATTGGAGAAGGTGACAACTACGATCTTCCTCATGGTCTGGAGAAAGCAATCCAAAAAATGGAGAAATCAGAGGAATCTGTGTTCTATCTCAAACCCAAGTATGCTGTTTCTGATTTTTTTGACACTTGAAGGGCTTATATTAAGCATCTGGCAAGAATAAAGTGTTTTGTTATAATGCCTTTAGTGTTTTGCAGTGCTGTAGTAAAAACTGGATCAGCCCCAAAACTTTGTGTGAGAAGCATGAAGCTAAGATAGCTTTGCTACTAGGTATTTACTTAAGTCTCTGTAATGTTGATCTCAGTGTATGTTAAAAAAATATTGTTGCTTCCTTAAAGTTTTTGTGGTCCCTCTTCACAAAACAGTACTTACTGTACAGCAGTGCATATAAAGGTACCTAAAGAACAGCCTCAGAATAGGACAGAACAGTTTGCACTGATTGTTTCCATCAAACTTTCATCTGTTTCAGTTTTTATTTCAAGTTTTTCAAACTGGACTTGATGAGAGAAGAAAAGCAAAGCCATCTGATGTTGAGGGTTTTCCTGCTAATATGCAGCTTCTTGCTAGAGTTGAAACACAGAACCCTTCTACAGGCATTTACTGTCCATCAGCTGACTGCAGGATGTTGAGCATACGGCTCATCACTTAATCTTTGTATTTATGGTTGTCTTTGCTTATCTGAGAGTAGCACTAAAATACAGGTGCTCTGAAGGAAACACCCAGTCTCAGACCATGAATATAAAGCAAGATGTGCATAAGTTAAAAGTTTTTTATTTTTCCTGGTGGAGAGAGATCTTGTTCCTTCCAATAAGCCAAAACAAAAGAATAGGAAGTGGTAACTTAGAGATTAATGAAATTAAGCCCAAGTTTCTCCAGCTTTCTTGTACCTTGTGCTTGCTAATTTTAGAATAGTATCTAGAATTCTTCACGCGTTTGTCTTGTAATAATACTGTGTAGGCATCCCAGATTTGCATGGGGGTTTTGCTTCCAACTTCCTGTGTAGCGAGTATGGCTGGCTGGATAGTTTTCTAACTTTTTGTTTGTTTCATACTGTGTAGGCATCCCAGATTTGCATGGGGATTTTGCTTCCAACTTCCTGTGTAGCGAATATGGCTGGCTGGATAGTTTTCTAACTCTTTGTTTGTTTGTTTCTTTTCCTCCCCCCAACACCCCCAATCCTACAGCTATGGTTTTGGAAGTGCTGGGAAGGAGAAATTTCAGATCCCTCCAGATGCAGAGCTACAGTATGAAGTGAAACTCAAAAGCTTCGAAAAGGTAGGAATGAGAGATGAAGTCCCAGAGAGACTGGGAGGTGGGGGAAGAAGTGTGAGTGCAGCTTCAACAGGGACGATGGAATCCTTGAACGTTCATCTGAAATAGGGAAGACGCTGTTGTCAGCGATCATGACACACTGGGAGCTCTTGGCTGAAATTGTCCTCCTTCTTACTGTATCCCTGTCTGTTGCCATCAGTGTCTCTCCAGCTGTAGCCCAGTTTTCAGCCTCTCTACCATGTTGTTAGTAAGAAGCAGCATGGCCACTGGGTTTGTCATTGACTTGAACTGTTCCTTTTTGGGTAGGCTAAGGAGTCTTGGGAAATGAACACGGACGAGAAGCTGGAACAAAGCTGCATTGTGAAGGAGAGGGGCACTCAGTACTTCAAGGTAAATTACAATCCCCACGTAATCATAGCACTTAGTCTGTGTCATGAGCTGATAATGATGATTAGAGCTTCTGTCAGTTCAGAGTGGTGTTCATGGTATTCTCTGTGATGTTTTACAGGGGGGACTGGAGGGGAAGGTGTCTTAAAAAACAAAAACCTCAGAGTTGGGATATCCAACTGCAGGGAGTTAGTTCTCTGTCAGAACAGTTTGCTGTACCTACAGGTAACTTTGGGGCATACACTGAATAGTAGCAAGGTTACAGTATTTCAGTTCCTACTGCACGATAGTGCTGTGAATGAACAACATTGCTACATTCATTTGGGTAGAGATGTGCGGAGCAGCTGTTTGAAACGATTTGACCAGCTAAAGGCAGACTTTACCATTATCTTCATGACACAGCAACAGTTGTGCTGTTTAGAAAATGCCCCATCTTCCTTGTTTTATATCAAAAGTAAAGTATAAGGTGGGAGTTGACAGTGAAGTATTAATGATGGTCTGCATCCCTAGCTTCAGTGGGGGTGGCAGTAGGTATTCCTAAAGGTTTTCTGATCCTAGGCAGGAATGGCTTTCAGTAGTAGTATATTTTTGATGATAGAAGTTATTTTCTGATGACTCTGAATTACTTTTTTCAGATCTGTTGCCCAAGGTAAGCAGAAGGGGCAAGAGGGGGAACAAAGTTACTGTGATGAGCTGTGTGATAATTGAACTGTCTTCTTCACAGGAGGGGAAATACAAACGGGCAGCTCTACAGTACAAGAAGATTGTGTCATGGCTGGAGCATGAATCGGGACTCTCTGATGAGGAGGATGCAAAAGCCAAAAGCTTGAAGCTTGCTGCCCACCTTAATCTAGCTATGTGCCATCTCAAGCTGAAGGAATACTCTCAGGCTTTGGAGAACTGCAACAAGGTAGTAAAGGTTTTAATTATTCTTAAGCTGGACAAGCAGTCTGACAGGTTCATCTTACTTTGACAAGCTGAGGGATGCCAGGCCATGTGGTGCTTGGCCTTCTAATCAGCTGGCAGTTGGGTAGTACTGAATACACAATGTAAAAGTATCCAATGGGTTATTTCCACAATTTTTGTCCTTTGAGTATCGTTTACTAACTTCCTGCTACTATTCAAGTATTCAGAATGAGAAACACTGATGGTGATGGTAGTCGTGATGGCAAAGGTCCTTCAAAGAGCTGTAACAGAGCCAGGACTAAATCTTAGACTTGCTGGTTCTCTGTCAAATAGCCTGCTGTGTTCAGTCCTCTTTCTACTTATTTCTACTTTATTCAGCTCACCTTTTTAGTAAGCCCTGATAAGATTCATAAATCTACATCAGAAGGTGCAGTTTCTAGCAGTCTCTGGTGTTCTGACTGCATAGTATTTAAAAAAAAAAATTCTTGAATGTGGTTTGGTTTTGTTTTTTTAATGCAGGCACTCGAATTGGATAGCAACAATGAAAAAGGTCTCTTCCGGCGTGGAGAAGCACACTTGGCTGTCAATGACTTTGAATTGGCCCGGGGAGATTTCCAGAAAGTGATACAACTTTATCCAAGCAACAAAGCTGCCAAAGTGCAACTGGTAACTTGTCAGCAAAAAATCCGGGAGCAGCATGAAAAAGAGAAAAAGATGTATGCCAACATGTTCCAAAGGCTTGCAGACAAAGACTTAAAGGTAAGTAACTCGGCTCTGGAAAACTGCAAGAGGTGGCGTCACCTGTTAGACAAGGAATAGTGTTTGAGGTATTCAGCTTACTTCTTAGTCCAGGTAAATATAGTGACAGAACACTCCAGTAGCTTCCTCTGGGGGGAGGAAACTTGGAAACAGCCAACAGTCAAAATGATGAGATTCTCTTGTTTTGACAAGACAAGAAGCAGTGCCAAGCCTTGCACAGAATGCTTTTACTGAATTCAGCTGCTTTTACAACAGACCAACAATCAGAAAGCAGCTGAAGTGATCAGAGGCGAACATGATTATGTTCAAGAACTGAAAAAATCAACTGTTCTCCTTAAACTGATCTTCTAAACAGTCTGTTCTGGTGCCAAGGTGGCCCATCTACTGAGACCTTATGTCTGTTGTACAGATGGTGCTGAGCACCGTTTTCTCATGAGGACATGAAGATGTGGTTGATGCTCTCCATCTCAAATGTCATAAATTGGATTATGAGGTGTCAGAGTTCAGACTGTCAGAATGTAGACTATTCTCCTGTATGGATGGCTTTCCTACTAAGCTTTCACTACAATTTTGGTAAACACTAGTTCACTTAACAACAGCAGTATTTGAGTACAGGGGCACGATCATTTCCCCAGTCCTGCTGGTCACACTGTCTCTGATACGAGTCAGGATGCTGTTCCTCTGTTTAGTGGTGGTGGGAGAAGGTGAAGAGGTGAGGAGAAAAGATTTTGTTTACCAAATGTCTTCTGATTGCTAAGAAAGCAGCTTGGACTAAAGTTCTGAAATTCCTGGCATCTGTGTGTCTTCTGGTCTGTTGAAGTCTGACAGCCACTCGTAGAATCATGGAATCATCTGGTTGGAAGAGACTCTCAAGATCGAGTCCAACTGTTCCACCTGCACTGTCAGGGTCCCTAAACCATGTTCCTCAACACCAAATCTACACGGTTTTTAAACACCTCTGGGTATGGGGACTCTACCACCTGGCTGGGCACCCTGTTCCAGTATTTCACAACCCTCTCTGGAAATTTTTCCTGATATCCAACCTAAACTTCCCCTGGTATAACTTGAGGCCATTCCCTCTTGCCCTGTCATTCACGACATGGGAGAAGAGATGGACCCCCATCTCCCTACAACTGCCTTTGAGGTAATTGTAGAGAGCGAGAAGGTCCCCTCTGAGCCTCCTCTTCTCCAGACTAAACAGTCCCAGCTCCCTCAGCTGCTCAACTCCTGCATCAGTAGTTCTTTTGATGAATTCAAGCAGTTCACCTACTTAAAAAGTGTGGATTTTAAAAGGCTGGGATGTTGACCACCTTATCTGGAGCCCAGCGTTGCTGCCAGCTAGCAGATTTTCTGTGGAGAGGAGACTTGGGTCTTGAGTGCTTCACAGAATGCTTCGAAGGATGAAGGGTTGACCTTTGATGCTTGAATGTTCTTTGGCTGTGGTTTCTTGCTGCAGCTAAGTTGATGTAACATCTTAGTATAAGGATTCTGCCCCTTTTTGCCCCCCTATTCCCCTTCCCCAACAATGCATGTTCATGTCCTTGTTCTTCTCTGGTTCTCAACTAACCTCATAATAAAACAGGTGGCTCAGAATGCTAGGCTGGCAGGTGGAACAGCAATTTCATTGCATGGTCTTTTGAGATCAGCAGGACAGAACATTTCTTACCTCCCTTTGCTGTGTTTGAAAGTTACTGCAGGGGCAGGATGTGCTGGTTGTGTCCTGTTGTAAAAAAACAACCTCATACTCTTACCACATGGTGCTCTGCTGGAATTCCACATCTTTTTAGGTGGGCTGGAGGATCCAGCAAGGAGAGGGGTTTTTAGAGCAGCCACCTCTGCAGATTAGATTTTCTTACAGAGGACATGGAAAAGACCGTTGTTGAATTCAAGTCACTCTTATGAAATGAGCTGTCCAACAAAGATACGTCTTTGTCTTGAGTCCAAGTGTGCCTCGTGCAAGGTGGGGGTGTGGGAATTGCTGAAATTGAGCAATGGGATGGGGTGTGGGAACCCCATGGGGGTATGGGAACATGGAAATTGAAGCAGGATGACAGAAACTTCCTAAATGAATTTCAGTTTATGGGAGAACCCTTTCTGAAAGCGTTGCAAGTGTGTGCATGGCATGTTACAAGTCCTAACCATCTATAATGCCCCATCTCTGGCAGTGTTCCAGGCCAGGTTACATGAGGCTTTGGGGAACCTGGTGTAGTGGAGGATTTCTCTGCCCGTGGCAGGGGGGTTGGAACTAGATGATCTTTAAGGTCCCTTCCAACCCAAACCATTCTATGATTCTATAACACCAGTAGTATTTCTCAGCCTCCTCTAAACTGCTTCTGGTTTCTTAGATGCAGATAAAAGGCCAAGAAGTTTAGTTTCTCTTGGCTGAAGGTCCTAATAGCTTAATGCAGTCTTGCGGGGAAACCAGGTATCCTAGTGATGAGAATCAGATCGTGATTGTGGTGTTGCCTGCAAATGCTAGGGATTCCATGTAACACAGGAATGTATTTTCTGGAATGTATTTTCTTTGTCTCTCTGTTTAGTCAGCTGCTACTCTTCAAACCAGCCACACCGAAGATGCGGAAATGAAAGACGAGCAGAACGGAGTTGAAGATAAATCAGAAGTTGACACAGAGGCATAAAACCAAACCCTGTTCCATTAGTTTTGTAAATGAAAGAATTTCCAGTGAATTAGACCTTTATTTTTCTACCTGGTTGGACAGTGGCTTCAGGGGAGCAGAGGCTGAAGCCACCACGCCACTGTCAGTACCTGTTGAAGATGATGAGTGGCAGCGTATTTCTGGTTTAATCCTAGGGACTTATTTATTCATCCAGCCTCTGTTACTGTTGGGCTTCTGTCTGGGTTTACTCTGCTTGATTTATTTGCGTTTTGCCGTTGATGTTTGTCTCTTTCTGGTTCCAGCTCACTTTAATCCCAGGTTCTGCTTCCTAAAATTGCTTCCTTGATGTCTTTCAAGTAATCAGCCTTTTCCAGGAGTCTTCACATGAGAACAAATGGGCTCTCCCAGTTCTTCTGCATTGGCATTGCCCTGTTTTCCCCCCCCCCCTTGAGTAGGGAGTCCCTTCCATCCAGTGTTGTAACCTTTCTTGTATGCCTCCTCTTTGCAAACTGCTAAAGGTGAAGACTGTGAAGTCACAGCTTACGTAATAAAGCTCTGATTAAACTCCAGAAAACTGAACGTTTTGTGGGTTTTTATTGGAATTTGCACAGAGTAAAGAGAATTCACTGTCCTTTGGTCATTCAGCGTTTTCTCATCCACAGAGCTGTACAGGAGCCACAATATCT